CCAGTGTAATGTTCCTATTCACGTCTGTAGCAAGCAGCAAGCAGCAAAAATCACTGATGTACATAACTCAAATTATTGAGAGTTTATATAGATGTCCGTGTATAGTGGTAGATTCAGGTCCATGTGCACAATGTATACTAATCACGAAGCGATCACGACAGTCCTAAGGCTTTCCTCATGGCCTGATAATTGGGTGATCCAACGCCAGTGACTGGATCCCAACCTTGTAAGGAAGAAAGTCAGGATGAAGAAAAATCGATGCGATTGAAATAAACACCAACCTTTCAGAGCCGGGAAACCGGCCGTACCACATCCCGGATTGCTTCCTGAGGATTTAGTAATGAACATCAACGACAAATTCGAGAGAGAGTATTCCTGAACACTGACCGTTTGTGATATCATAAAATGCCTCAGGATGTGCGTAGATCCATGGATTCATAAATCCCAAAGGTGGTTTCCCATTTGACAATAGTTCATCATTCAGCAACGCCACGACAGAGGCGAAGATGGGCGAAGATGCAGAAGTCCCTGCAACTGGACCGACTTCACCAGATTGAATTATTTGAATCTTGTCTCCTTGTGCTGATACGTCTGGATAACCACGTCCAGAACGGTTGAATCGACCTTTGTAGAGGTCATCTCCGATTGCATCTAGGTAAGTTGCAACGGCTTTCTGTTGCCATGATGGTTGATCAAAGTAGTTGGAGAATCCTCCAGCAGAGAGATCCGCTCCCTTCTCTGGGATGTTAGCGGTAGCACCCACTAGAGTAGCGCTGTAGAAGACCTTAGATAAATAAATCGTTTGCTCGAGGCATATAGCTTACTATGGGCAAGTTGGCCACGCAGCCAAAAATGGCTCGTCGTCACATTTTCCCCCAGGGGAAGAGGCGACCCCTCCATCTCCTGTAGCGTACAAAATCGAGACTCCACGCGCTGTCAGCTTCATAAAGGCATCACACATGGCACTGCAAAAGTCAGGCAGTGCTTCCATTAGAAAAACCAGTAGATTGAAATTGAAATAAGTTTTGGACTTACAAAGTCAAGGATTTTGACAGCCCACTCTCGTCTGCGGCAACACCATAACTGGTGGTCAGAACCAACGGAGGGTTCGTTTCTGCCAGGAGATCATTCACAATATCAAGGAAACCACCATCATCGCCATCGTGGTTGTCGTTACCAATGTCAACGAATGTCGTAGGTATGCCATTCGCAATGCCCACCGTGTACTGGGTATCAAGGTTCTATATCAAGGGTACCAAATTCAGATGACATAACTTTGTGTATTGGAAACCACCTACGGCTTCGAGGCCTGCGTCAGAAATATTCTGGCTATTTGTCGCATCATCCAGGAGTTGTGTCACAAAAGTGGTGTTTGAAGACATATCGGGTCGGAAAAGCTTCAAAAAAATCGCGAGATCGGCCTACATGATGTTCAGTTGCCCGAATCACATTTGTCACCCTTCAATTTAGGTACCTTATTTGCATCTTGTCCCCCGAAAGCAGAGACTGAGAAGCCGGAGCACCAGAAAATCAGTACTTAACCCTCGAAGAACAGATTATTCCATCCTTACTCACCTCCTATTGTACTATTTGTTTTTGAACTCACTAGTGTCGAAGGAATTCCATACAGCTTTTGTAGACACGCCGGCGTCACAGTGTTGTTACAATTTGAAAAGTCAGACGTGGAGGTGGGAACTTCTGCACTAGAGGTAGAGCTCGAGGAAGCTTTTTTCAAATCTCCTGAAGTTCCATACGAGCCCGATCTGTGATGACCGCTGAGGGAGATGACCCTACCACGAGTTGAGTGGTAGAACCTGTGAGATGAACGTGAATTAGGGAACGGATCGTTATCAATTGCCGCTCAGCGCTGAGTATCTGAGCAAACACAACGAGTTTCTCAGCCGAAATTGCACACTTACGAGGTAGTCGGATGAATCGCCCTGATATGCTCCTGAAGATCATCCGGCACGCTATATTCCAAAGTCCTAGTGAATTGTTTTCCACTGGCTGTATGTTCGTATACGTTGTAATTCGCATTGAGCATTGTGTTGGCAGTGCCCACAGGAATACTGAATTTGATCCAGTCCCCTGATGCGGTCGCCGATTTGGAATCGATGTTGTATGATGAGAGCCATTTGTGAACCGAACGGAGGGCTTCTCTAGATGGAGCGGCATGGTACTGGATCTGGTGGAAGAAAGAAAACAATCGAGACAAATCTTGAACACGGATAATATCGTACTCACGTCCTCTTGAGATAACCATTGTCCATAACTCTCGCTGTCTGGATTGCTAGCCTTGTTCAGCGCGTTTTCGAGGCCCGTCCGGTTCCCCATCGTAAGACTGATCCGCATTTGAATCACCGAGTTGGAGTCTGCGACATCGACAAGTGAGTAACCTTTGGGTACAGCAGCCCGGCGATCGTGTATGGACATTGCTCGGCCACTGACAGACGCGCCGTAGGTGACTGCTGTAGAGGCAAGTGACACTAGCATATGCCAATTCGTCCAGGAAGAGAAAAGCATGGCTGGTGAGTGCTTGTCACAACCAAGGGGGACGATGAGGAGTTGCTAAAGGATGTCAGAATAATGACTTTTATACGCTAGTTGCATCGTGTATTGTCTGTATCCCTGCACTCAACTCAATGCCTGCCGTCATGTCCAGAAACATGCGCTGCCAGAAAGAAACAGCGCCCTCAGAGCGCCCTAAACAACGCGTAAACAATGAGCCATGCAGATTCATTGCGGCTCATTGCGGTGCATGCCTCTTGATTTTCGAGAATCTGAATCTTGGAAGCAAGCGAGGATGATTAGATACCAGCTTCCGTCCAAGCCAAGTACCGACCTACATTTGATTATGGCTCATCACTGAAGATAGCATACGACGTTGAAGGCTGATAACCATCCGATCACAGTGGAAACGGAGTTAGAAGGGAGGAAATGAGAGGAACTTAGGAAGATTAATACCCTGCCAGTGCGCTCATGCATGCGAAGGCACTGTCTGGCCTGGCACTGCTCCAGATTGCTTGCTGGGGTCACTGACAAGTACGCCTTCGCAAGAAACGGCCGACCTTCAGACTGCGTTTGACCCGCTCAACGGATGGACTCTGTATCTCGGGATCAAAATTGAACTGGATGTGCGAAGCTCGCAAGGTGTCTTTAATTCTTCCGAAAAGTCGAAGAGTGATCACTATTGCAAATCAAAGTAAGACCACGTGAGCGAATGTACTTGGCTGGATGGAAGGTTCACAGGTGGCAACTGCCAGGCAGCGTTGGTTAATTCATGTAAGAATGTTATTGGATACCGATGTGTTGCTAGTGTATCAAGAATTTGTGTAATATTGTACAAATTAAAGAGCACAATTGTAAGGTCCGTCAAGAAGTTAACATGGTGCTACATAGTGCGACTCTGCCAATTGTTCATAGTGGGGAACAGAAAGATTTTTGTGTGCCTTCCTCCTTTTACAAGCAGCACGGAATGATGAAACAACATCCACCATCCTGAAAGGTTGAGTTATCATCATCAGTGGAAAGCTCAACGACAACTTATCACTGCGGCTCACCGGACAAGGAATACACCCTCCTCTCAATCTTTGCACTTGAGAATTTCTCTGTTCTCGCTCCTCGGCACTCATCAACGACATCGATCGAGTTGCTGACGGCTGTTGTGCTACGACAGGCGCGGTTGGTAAGACTGAGGAGGAAGCTTTCCTCGATACATGTGCAGAGGGCGGGTAAGCTGGTGTCATCGGAGAGGGCATGGCGGTTGCGGGTAACGTTTGAAGTGAGTTAGGTATTCTCAGAGTTATAGTTATACGATGAACGTGGGGGATGAACGCATTGGAGCCACGAGATAATGATGATGACGTCGATGGTGGCGCAAGTACTTGGTAGAAGTAAGCATGTGAAGAGATACTGAAGGCTCGAACTCTCCAGTCTTGCAAGGTAAATTTCGTATCTGTACTCCATAACAATACTGTACATGAACGTTTAACAATCGTAATGTAAAAAACAGCCACTTCTTTGACCTATTTCCCTAATATTTCACTCGAAATCAATAACGATAGAGACAAGTCGGACAGCACTTTCACTGAGCTTCCCCAACCAAGACCTCTACGATTTCCACTGCACGTTTGAATTGGGCTTTCTGCTCGGGAGTGGCTTGAACGGAACTCGAGCTACATATTCGAATGAGGTGGATTCAGTAAACCGAAAAACATAGTAAATGTGGTATTTGAAGAAGAGATTTGCAATGTATGAGAAGATAAAGGCAAAAGGTGGATTGGTTTCACGAATCGAGAGCGCACGTTGACTATAATACGATTCCTGTTTGGAAAGCAAGATGTACCAAGCACGATGTTGCGATAGCAAGTCTCAGAGACCTTATCGTGATCGATAACGATCACACGTAGCAGAAACGATAAGAAACAACGAATGAAAGAAAACACACCCTGGCTGCCCATTGACACCATTCATCCCACCATTAACCCACTGCAAATCATCGCTTCCCCAAAATATACTTGTATCCAATCCATAGATATCCTCAGATCCCGGAGGCTGTTCAGTCGGCAGCTGCTTCAAAATACCATGGAGCTCATCAATGAGCGCTTCTGCCGACGTCGAAACACCAGTCAGTTGTGCAGCATGCCCGAGAGTCAGAGTCTTTGGAGCAAAGCTCTGCAGCTCTGGAGTGCCGTCAGGCCTGGAAGCAGAGGTAATGTTAAGCGAGTCCGAGTCGATTGGCCGGGTGATAGTCGCGATGAAAGAAGGCGTTGGAGGAGCGAAGCCACCGGTGATGCCTGGGAGGAGTGGTTATTCTATCAGTCAGTTGAAAGTGCGATGAGTTGTACCTTTTTGCAAGCGAAGGGAATATTCTCTGAGGGCCATGTGAAGTAGTTGGCTCGATAGTAGTGTATATGTACTCTCAAAATGGAACTGGAGAGCTTTAAAAAGAACTTGGAGCAGACAGTTAATGTAAGGCAAGAGATTTAGTCATTTTATAGTCCAATGTGGTGTAGTGGTTAACATTGCTGTCTTTCATGATGTATTCACAGCAGCCCGGGGTTCGATTCCCCGCATTGGAATTAGTTTTGTTTTGCAATGCATTGAGTGTGTGCGAACCGCGCTTTGTCGTATTGAACAATGAAACTTTTCTAACAGACAACGTTGTAAATCTAATGGATGCTTTTACCAGCTCGCCCATGATTTTGAAAATTTCCTAGACTTGCGTCTTTCTTACCAACCAGACACTGCGTCATCTACTGGTTGACCGGTCCCCTGCACGGATAGTTTGAATGTCAGGACATGAACATACGACACAGCATTTATTGTCAACACACAACAGTCCATTTCGCAGAGGACATCCATGAAAGTTGACTATTTGAGCTTGACGAAAAGCTTCGGTGCGGCGCAATCTTCAACACAGTGCATCATGCTGCATGGAGGAAGTCGATGCTGAGCGCCGGTGAGAGCAAGAATGCAACAAGACGTACTGGACTTGTGATGCCAAACGAAGGAGCAGTATGTTTCACGGATGATTCCGCGTACGCATCAGGTCAATGAAGAGAAATATAGCAGCAGGCCGACCGTGAAATAAATTTATAGAGCAGGACAGAGTTAGAAAACGTATGAAGAGAGAAGACCGGAGCGTACACCTTCAAAAGGCAACGAAATCAGACATAGGTTTTTGAGACAGCATTTAGAGATGTGACTGCCGTAGGCACGTACATTTCCTCTACACAGTCCTCTCCTTTGAACCCTTCACCGGCCTGAACTTTTTCATTACAACGCTCAAAATGCTGAGCTAGAGGTGCGCATTTTGTCGAGCTTCTACATTCTTCGCGAATAGCAGGGTGTAGCTATAGCACGTTCTAAGCGAATGAGCATAGAACGGAAAGTCAAACGTACGTCCTCAGGCTCCTCCTCCTCTTCTTCTTCTTGTTCAGCTGGTGCTTCCTCAGAAGATTCCGAGTCAGTTCCAGAGTTATTTTCGTCGGCGGGCTTCTCGTCAGCAGCAGTGTCGGCTTGAATGGTGGGCAAGAGCGAAGAGAAGAAAGATGCGATTGAGCTCATTTTTGGTCTTTTACAGGTCCAAACTTCGGAGACGCAAGTTTCGAACAGGGGGGTGTATAATATTCACAGATCACGAAACCCTGTTGGGGTCTGTTTACCTAGGCAAATGCCGTTGTTGTGCTTGATGCAAAGACAACATCTTACAGACTGGTATACAGTAGCATAAATTGTATAAGAGGGCTTTTCATGAGTACTGGCTGCTCAGCTACATAGCTGAAAGTTAGTAGTACATAGTAGCTCTGTACTATGTATCCCCTTCGGCAAATTTCGGAACGATGCGTGCTATTCTAGGCGCTTAAGAAAGCATCCTTGCAACTGGTAAGTAATCCTTTACAATCCAATAATGTTGAAAACCTTGTGCTCTACTTGCTGCACCTGATGCTCTGGACAACAATGAGGATGACGACCTACCGTTAGATGACCTGGATGAAGATTCAGAGGTGCTTGAGCTTGCAGCAGCACTCATGATCCAAATTCCAAAAAGTGTCAGAAATCGAAGGCGATGGTAGTACTTGCGGGCACTATAATCAGTTTCCGAAGTCTGGTTTTCTACCAGTTTGCAGCAGCCTGATTGATGGTTTTGTAGCATTTACAGGTGTCACTACATATGACCATTTTGTGTTCTCTCGTTATTCTTCTCAACTAGAATACCTGCACCCAACGCCATCTTCCATTCTCCTGGAAAAAAAACAGCGGCATGTGAAATACCAGCTTGCGACTTTTCTCAAGTACATACGAAACCGCCATTCAGGTTCTGATGATGTCAAGGCTCCACTCATGGCTATGGGTAACCTGGAAAGAATCTATGAAGATATGGTGCACCTTCAATACTTATGAGGGATGAGGGATGATCGATGAGGCCTGAGGGACGAGGGAGAGTCACAAATTCTCGGAAAAAAATTTCTATATTAAGTGATTACAGTCATCTATGGCCATTTGGGACAATCAAATTTTTCAGGCGAAATACTCAGCACATTCTTCATACCTCTTGTTTCAAGTTTAGCTAGGCATTTAACACAATGTTACAGCTCACACTTGAGAGCCTTTGCCTTGATATTGTGGGACTTTCACTACTGCCAGTCTCTAATCAGTGCAGAAACTTGTTATCGCACAAAAATGAGCATTTGGGACGTGACCAATCACGCAGATAAGATTTGGATAAGATTAGAAAATTTGTAATTTGTAATCAGGAATTGAATCGTTGCTCGCTGTCATTGTCATCGTCTTCTGATTCTTCTTCATTGTCGTTGTCCACGTCAGCATCTGCTGTGGTTTTCTTGGGCCTTGGAAGCAGATTTTCAGGCTGGTACTCTTCACGCCACTTTGGCTTTGTCCATTGAGTCCTCCTCTTCTCTGCTTTTGCTTGATCTCTCTCTGCCTCCCATGCTGCCACTGCCTTGTTGTATTCCACCTTTTTCCCTTCATTCCTCTCTTTGATTCTATCATTCTGCTTTTTCCATTCTGCGAGTTTTCCTGCATGAGCCTGTTGCATATCACGACGTTCATGGGCATCATCAAGCTCTTGCTGCCGCTTTTGTTCATCATCTAGACAGAGTCCATAGAATTCGTCGCCAGTGAATAGTTTAGCCTTCCCATCTCCCATCAATCTTTTCTTCCCTTTGCCTCTGTTCTTAGCCTTCTCCTCGCTTCCCTGCATTTGCTTATTGGCTCGCATTGCATATAGATTTGATATAACTGCGCCAGCTTGTACCAAAATCAGATCCTCTTTTCGGGCAGCATCTCTACCCTCTGACTCCATTAGTGCGTCCCGAAGATCTGACTCATGTGCTGAGTGGACTGGTCTCTTGATCAGACCAGTGTACCGAGATGTTGATTTCCGAGGGGACATCTTTGCTGGCTGAAAGATAGGAGGTTTCGAGATGGATTTCATGGGGCTATTGTCGATGAGAAAGCTGGCAGAGGTTGTGGCGAGTTCTCGCAGTCCGGAGCGGACAAAGAAAGGGGTAGATGAAGGCCCAGCCGGTACGTTGTCTACTTCCATGTCACCCTCAGTCTCTTGCTGAGACGCACTTTCCACAGCCACCTGCTGGTGCTCAAGATAATCTGCAATCATATCAGTCATCTGTCGCACTGGCGTTGTGTGACGAGCAGGTGTGGTCATATGGATCGATGTGGTTTCACTTGGGGCCATCATCTCGGGGGTAATAACGGTTGGATTGAAGGGGATGACACCTGTCTTTCGAAATGCCGCCTTTATGTTTTGTTCAGTGAGTGTTTGCAGATGTGTTTCAGCGTAGATACTGAGGAAGTTTGTCTTGTCCACAGTGTGTCCCTCCCGCTCCCAACGGTCCCGAATGTTGGTCCAGTTTTTCTTCATTGGCGAGAAGATTACAACATCGAGACCTTGGTAGACATGTGTGCTGTGAGATGGATACCCAACAACCTCGATTCTGTGTTGTCGTGCATACTCAAGGAATGCACATGTATAGTGTGAGACATGCCCATCGACCAGTAACAAACGTCGGCGCCCATTTGCCTTTGCTTGTGTCTCGTGGTTAAAATTTTCAATCCAGGCTCGACCAATCTCTCCGTCTGTATATCCCTTCTTTGAGTAACCCAGTCTATACAGGTAATCAGCTCTCCCTTTGTTCACAAGTGGGCCTTGTACTTACGAAGCATTTAAAGGATTGTCCTGCTTCCACTTCGCCTGAAAACCTTCCCCTTTGTAGATTACAGCAGGCGCAGTGGACGTACCATCTCCACAGATTGTCACAATGACGGTGATGTTTTCACGGTCTCCACTCCTCTGTTGGTGCTGAACTTTCTTCTTTGCAGCCCCTAGCCCCCGTGTCTTCTGCCCAACACCTTTCTGGAGCCCAGACTCATCTGTACCGTATGTCAACTCTGCTGGAATTCTGTCATCTCCTCCCTCTCCCTCAATGACATGGTGCAGTAGGTTGAAGTAATGTTTGTGGTTGTATGGATTGACGGCGCGTGCACGGGAATGGTCCATCGAGTGAGTCCAGTATGTTCCAATTTGGTCACGGTGATCTGATACAAACCGACCAGTCCAAGCCTTTCCAACTCCAGTGACAGGGAATGCATCTCCATGCCGAGTGCTGGCTATCTCGTCTGCATGCTCCTTGAGCCGCTTATGATCCAGTGGGAATCCTCGGTCTCCCCAGTAGATTACTTCATTGACCAAAGCTGCCTCTTCGTTGTTATTAAGCCAATGTTGTTCTTCCTTTGCTTCTGTGTGACTTCGTCCTCCGTGTATCCGCCTATGTAGAGCTGAACTCGAAAGAATTATCTTTTTCTTTTTCTCATGAAAGCACTCCTCTTCCGCCTGCTTGCATGCCTTTCGGAGAGAAAGTGTGTTTGGAGAGGACTGTGAGTTCTTGTAGAGAGTGACTGCTCGAAGCAGATATTCTTCCTTCAGAGCTGATGAGATTCTCTTTCTTTCCCTTTCTGATTGAGCACGTCCAACCATACTGCAAGTGTAATTGAAGTTCAGCGGAGAGACATGAAAGCAACACAACAGGTCGTCTGTGATCATTTCCTTTTTGGTAACGTGATGTGACATCCCCTTGATGCGCTCAATCTCTGTGTGCCTTCACCCAGGTGTTTCTTGCAGTTTGGACCAAACTGAAATACTAGATGAGTGCAAGATTGGTGTATCAATCTTGGTAGCAACTTTGAAGTGCAGTTTTGCGGGAGATTTCAAGACAATTGACAAAAGAATTTTGGTTTATTGTAAAATCGTCAGGATTTTGGTTCTCACAAGGTATCAATGTTGGCCTTTCATAATTATGTAGCACAAATTTATGAAGAATAGGTCATACTTGCTTTCTACAACATTTTAGAAGGCAACAGGTTCACAAATGTAACGGAAAACCCATTTATCCCATTTGATCATAGTGTCCCAAATGGCCATAGATGACTGTATTATGAAATTCAGAAAGCCGTGAAACTTTAACCCTATTGTCATGTCATAATCCCCCTGAAAATCCCTCCACTACCCCGGCGGCCACCGCACTTCAGGCCTTCAGGA